TCTGGCTTCCACGTGGTAGCAGTTAGACCCCCAACAGTTCCTCCCAACTCATGCAGGTTTTTTGTTATCATTACCATTCTGTAATTTTCAGATGTAAGAGCAAAAAAATAGTTTCATCTCGGTGTTTTTCTCTTTGATGTGCCATCATTTTCTGAGTCTATCAGATATTCTGATCAAGTCATGGCACTTTTCCTTTGTGCTTCTGGCTAGACATTCATTTATCTAGTCTAAGACAAGGATATAGGTGGCAAAAGAATTGTGGCTTTGTATAGTGCTTAGAGGGAATTTTATGGGGAGCTAACTATAGCTTTGTATAGTGCATAGAGATAATATTATGGGGAGTTAGGCATGTAAGTAAACACGTCTTCGGCCCTTGGGTAAAGCTTTCTAGAATTGTTTTGAGCTTTGGCAATTTTGACTCTTCATTGGCTCTCAAGTTTTCCAACACGGGAAATCACATCATGTGATTCAGAGAATAGTTAGTTGAGATTAATCCTACTCTCTTTTTTGGTAGACAGATGAAAGTAGATTTTTTTTCTAGTTGCGAGATATATTTGAATTAGCTTTTGAATAAGCACGCCCCTTATATTGACTTAATGCATTTAGAACTTTACTCTTGGATTAGTATTTTTAAAAAAAATCGAATTTAGGTAATCAAGATAGGAATTTATTTCTTTTACCAACTAATTAATCCTTGTGGCAGATAAAATGGACTTTGATCAATCAAATATATCATAATAACCATATTTTATCTGACTTGAACCATATTTTATTTGATTTGGCTGATTTTGGTTAACATTTTGCTGTTATGGTTCCTTTCAGCTGCATATATAATGTTGCAAAACAATAGTTAATCTTCTCAATTTCTTGGTTTCTTTTTGTTTATCTTTTACTTCTAGGTTACGGGTGACTCTAAGTGCAGCTCATACTGCAGAAGATGTAAAAAAGCTGTTAGCCACACTCTCAGATTGCATCAGTATTGGAGAAATTAAGAATCATGGCACAAATCTTGTATATGCTAAGCTCTAGAAATCAACTGCCAACCATACCTGGAAGAATGAGAGTGCACCATCCCAGGAAGCTGTTAACTATAATTTGAACTATATATATATATATATATATCTATATATATATATATATATTTTTTGTTTTTTTAATTAAAAATACTACTTTATCAGGAGTCATGCCACTCCTTGTCTACAGAGATTGTCCCGCATACTCTGTTTTTTGGTGGAAAATTTCCATGAGAATTAACTCTTCTCTTAAAGTGATGTAATAAATACATGTGTAACTGTAATAAATAATTAAAAATATATTAGTTCTATTATTTTATTGAACAAAATTTTATGGAAGAAAACACCTTTCTAGTAAAAATATAAAAATTATGTTTTAGTTTTTAACAAAAATATGTAAAATGAATGAGATGGGAAAAAAAAATATATATATCATCAGGAATTTATATATTGTAAATTCTTGAATTTATTACCAACTAAACAAAAATCATATAAAATAATAATATATTCAAAATTTATTTTTATATTTAAAATATTTTAGTTGATAACTATTATACATTATTATATTAAATAAATAGATAATTATTATATATTATTGTATTAACTGAGTAGATAACTCTTTATATTATCATATTAACTTTATTTTAATATATTTAAAATTATCTTTATTTTATAAAAATAAGTAAATAATTGTTGTAATATATATATATATAAATTATTTAAAAAATAAAGAAATTGACACGTATGTGTTCACAGTATTTCTTATATATACATATTCATACTATTTTGTGCTGATTTCTTTACCATTATTCTACTTAGTAAGAAATTTAATATATGCTATACTTTTTCAATAAAAGTATTAAATATCTTATCTTTATTATTTAATCACTTTTGACTTATAAATTTTTTTGAGATATTTTTTAATTTTTATGATTTAAAATTAAATAAAGATAAAATTTTTCGGGTAAAAAGTAAAGATACATTTCATTTAAACTACATGTCTAGAAACTTATTCTAATTATATTTAGACAAAAAAAAAAAAAAAAACTAATTTAAAATAATAAAATAATATTTTCAGATAAAGGTTATATATTATTTTTAATTTTTATTTAAAGTGTTCATTATCTTAATTACATCAAACATAATTTATTATCTGAAAAACGTAAATTGCATTTTAAAATAATTATGTTAATCATAAATAATAAACAACTTCTATAAAATAACGAAAAGAGTTTAATAGAAATAAAACATAAGGGATCGGTGATTCAACAATCAGCGGCAAAATTCCTGGAACCAAGAAAATATAACTCTACTCGACGCCGAGAGAAATCCCCGGCTACCGGCGACCCCTTTTTCCCACTCTACTTTTCTCTCCCTGCGGCCACGTTCCAGAAAAACTTCAAATTGAATCCTCGGTTCCTCTGCCGCCGGAACCTCGGTCGGGATTCTGCTCCTGTTTCTCCATCCCTGCAGTCATCTCGGGTGTACCTAAAGATTAATCTACTGAATCAATATCCTTCACTCTTTGTGTATAAAACACCTCACGATGGTATTGTCACAGAAGCTACACGAAGCATTCAAGGGCACCGTAGAGAGAATAACCGGTCCTCGCACTGTCTCTGCCTTCAAAGAAAAAGGAGTCCTTAGCGTAAGCGAATTCATTCTCGCTGGAGATAATCTCGTCTCTAAATGTCCCACCTGGTCCTGGTAATTTCTCTTATATGTCACTGCCTTGCTAAACTATGTTGTTTGTTGGATATTTGGGAAATTAGAATGGAATTAGCTGTTGCATGACACATTTGTTATTTTCGCCGACGTTGTTACGGTATGTCTCGATCAAATGAACTCTACATAGATTATGGAATTCATTTATGAATCTTAGTTTTTATAGTTATGATTTTTGGTTATTTACCCATATTATGCGCTATTTGTTATTTCTTTAAATTGTGGACATTTTTACGCTGTAATTTACATGCCTGCTATTTGTCCGTGTAAACATGCATTGACAATAGAGATGCGCTAAATGTCGTCTTACTCCCTGCTGTCCGATTTCTTTCAGTAGTTCTTGTAGGATCTGACTAACATAAGTAATGCAAAACTGGATCTGATTTACATGGTAGTCATTGACTGGAAACTTTCACTTTAAAATAAAATGTTATCCCTCTTCACAATCTTTTATTATTATTATTATTATTATTATTATTATTATTATTATTATTATTATTATTATTATTATTATTGAAAAATCACTCTTGATAATCTTGCCATACTCCCTTTGGGATTATGTATATTATTGTCAGGGAAGTGCTCTTTTTGCAACTGCGAGAGGTGCTTTGTGAGACCATATTGAATATCAGTGTGCTATATTTGAGCTAGCAAATTCTAGATGCTGTTGAGATGTGGAGGAAGGCTGAGGTTAAGGCATAAGTGTTTGGTTTTTATTGGCTTTTTGGAGGGCTTACGACCGGGTCAATTGAGGTTTGGTTTAGGTGAAGATGTTGGATTACTGGTTGTTTTACCTCTTTGTCTTTAGCTGTCATGGTGAACTGTACACCTACATCTTGCTTTCAGGTTCAAAGAGATCTGAGGTAGGGGGTGGCCACCTATGGGCAACACAAAAAACAAAAATTATACAAGGGAGTTACTCATCAATGTTATTCTCCACTAACGAGTCTATGACCCTTCAGCAAAATTAGTAATGTCTAAAACCAGTTGTCTCTAAATGTAGCCAAATTAGATTCAACACCATCAAACACTTCTAGATTTCTTTCTTTCCAAATGGACTAGAATATGGCATCGGCAATGAGAGTGAGTGTTACAGTCCCGATTTATGGATCTCCTTATGAGATTTTGTTAATAGTATGTGCTTGTTAAGAGAGAATCAAACGATCTCTGATTTTTGTTAATAGTATGGGCTAATTAATAGAGAACCCAACAATCCCTTGGGTAAGAAAGTACTAACACTTTTTCATAAATTTCTTCTTGCCTAAAAATCTGTCAAAAAATATAGCATGTGGTTATGCAAGAGGAAGAGTAGTTATCTGGAAGTTATTTCCAGAATTAACTGCCTCTTTTTCATTATCTACTTTTATTCTCCATAAGAAACATGCTCACATTTAACACATCAATTTACACATAATAAATACTGACTTATTCTCTGCAATACAGTTGTTCACTCACTTAAACATCATTTATTCTCCCTAATACACCATAATATTAACCGTCACATTGCTTCCCTCTTGAAGAATTGTGCTTGTCCTCATGCACAAAATTCCTGCCGCTGCTATAGTTTCTGGTTCTAGTAATGATGGAATTCCAGAATTTTCTTCATTGCTAGAACCGTCAAAAGGGAAAAGTCCAGTTTGCTGTAACGAAGCAGAAAAGTGCACTCAGCAAACTGGTGGTTTCAGGTTGTTGCCGATTTGTGTTCGAGCCTGCAGAGGCGCATGTTCAGCGTGGCATGGTGCACGCAGAGGGGTCTGCTTGTTCTGGAAGTTTTCTTCCTCGCACATCGCACGCCATGGATTTAATAGCCTCTCTGTGGCACAACTGATGGTGGTCTGCTTGACTGCTTCTTTTACTGGACTCCTTCAGGCCAGTTCTGGTCAATAATTCCTCGCATCATCCCATGAAAAATTCAAACTTCGACTTATCTTGTTCTCTATCTCCTTGATGAGTCTGCTGAAAATTTTCAAACATGGAATGCAATTCTCCATGACTATTTGGCTTTGGTATCAAATTGTTACAGTTCCAATTTATAGATCTCGTTATGTGATTTTGTTAATAATATATACTTGTTAAGAGAAAACTTAACGATTTCTGATTTTTGTCATTTTATATGAACTCGTTAAGAGAGAACTTAATGATCTCTAATTTTTATCATTTGTATGGACTCGTTAAGAGAGAACCCAACAATCTCTTGAGTAAGAAAGTATTAACACTGTTTTATTGATTTCTTCTTGTGTAAAATCTGTCAAAGAAGACAGCATGTATTTATACAAGAGAGAGTAGTTATCTGAAAGTTATTTAACTACTCCTTTGTCCTTATCTAGCTTTATTTTCCCTACTTGTCAATACTTAACACATTAATTTACACATAACACATTCTGACCTATTGTTCCCAACCCATAGCTGTCTTCCCTGAGAGCCGATAAAAGAAGATGTTAGGAGATTCATATCACTAATCCCTGTGGGCTACCATGTTGGTTATTTAAGCAGAGGAATAGAATGGATTTTGAGGGCATTGCTTTTCCCTTCAATTGAGAGAGACTTATGGTTTTAGATCCTCTATTTTAAGTGTTATGCTCTTAATTTTGTTTATGATTTGGAGGAATTTTTTGATATTTTAACTAAACTGTAACTTATTTGTAACTGGATTGCACGGTGAGAAACTTCCACATCCTTTTAGCTCAAAGTGCCTCGTTGAATAGAGAGAGAGTCCTTATACCAAGGCCCCTGATTGGGGCTTCTTAACCAAATTCCAGTTCACTGGGTGGCATTTTCTCTCTCATGTGAATCACCCAAAGGAAATTGCATTGAATCTGCTTGAGGTTATTAACCACATATTCATTTTGTTTCTGGCTCATTTAAAAGAGGAATAAAGCCTCAGGACAGACTTGAAGTCAGTCCCCTGGGCTGAGGGAGGGAAGTACCAACCACCTGATCTAAAATGGTTTGGTTATCACTGGCACATTGTTAGGCATGAGAACTAGAGACCTGAAATAAATGGGAGATTAGAGAGGGTATATTTTGGAAGGTCCATCATTTTAAAGATTGGATCCTAATCACTTTATCATTGCTCTTAGGGCCCAAGGAAGCCCCAAATAACATATGGAAAAGAAGTCACTCAGCATCCAATAATCTGCGCAAAGTCCTCCACCTTCTAAACCCCTTCACTGGTAGCAACCAATTTGTACTTGGCAAGATAAATCTTCAATCATGTCTTATAATTTTTTAATTTAGACATTCATTTATTTATAACATTAGAGTGCAGTTACAAGAGATTGCCTTGATCTGCATCATTGGCATCTTGTCCTCTTTTTAGTTTGATTTTTATGGGTACTTGTTTCTATGTTTGATAGGGAATCTGGTGAACCAAACAAGAGGAAGCCATACTTGCCACGAGACAAACAGTTTTTGATTACTAGAAATGGTAATATTTCTGTGGTTCACTTCTGTCTCTGTGTTCCTCAACTTGTTTCTTGTTGAAGGTTATTGTATTCCTCAATCGCACACTTTTTTCCTTTTCTGCTTTCCCCTATTCACTTTACCTGCGGTATGAACTTCCCCCTCAGTTCCTTGCCTACGAAGAGCTGCATCTGTAGAGGAAGAATATGAAGCTGCTGGAGGTGAAGTTCTACTTGATAATGAAGATAATGATGGCTGGCTGGCAACTCATGGAAAACCAAAAGGTATATTTTAACCTGGAGCTGGATGCTTTGTAATTTATTTTTGTTTGTTTGACTCTGCTCCTCAAATTTATGTTAGGTAAATGTGATGAGGATGAGAATTTACCAACCATGGAGGCCTTAGAAACCAACAAGAAAAACACAATTCCGTCAATCCCCACATACTTTGGAGGTGAGGAAGAGGAAGATATTCCAGATATGGCGGAGTATGAAGAACCTGATAACATAATTGAAACAGACCCTGTAAGTTGATTTTGATCATGCCACTTTCAAAGTTTTTGTAAGGGTTGTTTCTCAAGAAAGGTTTCAAAGAGTTGCATGGAATATTCTCAATCTTTGATTTTCTCAGGTTCTTGTGCTACATATCTATAAATTAAGTGTTGGAGATTTTAAAATGATTAAAATGTTTGGCTCAATTGATCTTTTGATCAAAGAGGGTTCATAATTTCTAGAAGATTTTAAAATTTTTGGTATTGTGTTTGGTACTTTACAGAAGTTTATAAGCAATGTAACTTATAAAGTGTTCGGGAAAAATTTTTGAAAGTTGGTGAAGTAGCGCCTTAGAGATTCTATGTGTTGACCAAGTAAAAGACAACACCATCCTCAAACTTGAATATTTCGAGTTTCAAAAGCTTTTGTCAATGTTTGTAATTTTTATTGAATTAATAATATGTGCACATTTTTAATGAAAAAGATTACTATCTTAAACTTGAATTGTACATGGGTTGCACCCCCGTGGTGCCGTAGCTTTTATACATGGTTATATTATTGTTTAAAAAAAAAACTATCTTAAACCTGAAATAATTTTAAGCTATTGAAGACCTGAACCAAATGTCCTCTGAAAGGGCTGCTGGCTAACATTTTTCTTTTGAACTCTAGCCTATGTTTAGGAGTTTGAGGTATGAAGTAAACTAGGCGTTTATTTGAGGTGTAGAGTGAACTAGGTATTTTTTTAAAGTAGCAAGAGTGAAATAGGGTTGTAATCCATCAATATTTGAGCATTAATTATGCTTAAGATGGTTTCCACTCATATTTTGTCAAAGAGAGTAAAGTACTGATTTATTACTAAGCTAGTGTAAAATTTTTAGAAAAAATAAATTAGCAATTAAGTTTAGGAAACTATGCAAACAAATAAGTTGGACAAATTATGAAATCCTCCTAATTCTCAATTTGGTGGCCATATAAGCTTTAGAGGGAATTATGGGGAGTTTAGAGATAAGACAACCACTACATTAGCTGGTTGAACTCTTTGAAAACTACCAAATAATGTTTGATCTTAACTTGTATCTTACCGTACTTTCCTTCCTTTTTAAAAGTAAACTCTCAAGTCTGTAAGAGAATAGTTAAAGCTAAATTTATTTGTCGCTGTACAACTTTGTGTCAACAATACTAATTAAATGAGTTCAACTGTTTGTTGTAAATAAAGAAACAACTTTCAGGTACTTTGTCAATAGTTTGCACTTTTTCTTTCTATGCATTTTATCAACTATTGATTGTAAAAATAAGAACATCCTTCTTGGTAGTGATTGAATTTCTATATTTTGACAAATTTTTTACAATGGTCTAACAAGTGAATAGGTTCTGCGTAAAATGATTTGTCTTTCTGTTCAATATATGATGCTCTCTTGCCTGTTCTGCTGATTTGAATTTGTTGGTAATTCTATGCAGGCAACACTGCAGACTATATATCTTGTGGCTCATGAACCTGATGATGATAATATTTTGCGGACCCGAACTTATGATGTCAGCATCACGTAAGAATTGTGTCCATTTTGATACTTATAGCTAAGATCCCTTAAGTTCCTGGTGATATGTCCTGGGCTATTTTTCCCTAGATTTCTATCTTTGATTTATGGATCTTTATATGGCTGACTTCACCACCTCATGAGCTCTTTTATATTCTGATTTCTAATGCTTTATTTTGAGGAGTTTCAAATGCCAATAATTTTAGCCCATTAACCATTGGACTACGAGGATATCTTGGCAAGCAAATACTGCTTTGAGAAGGCCTATGGTAAATAATGATGCGGAATGGTTTGAAATGAGATTTTCTAAATAGATTAACAATCATATTCTTATGAAAATCTGAAGTTTATTGCAATAGTTCGGAGTCTATTATTATAATTTTAGTAACATTAGGATTTCAATTATAGTTTAAACTCTTGTTGAGTTTCCTATTAGAATTTCTAGTCCTAGTTAGATTAGGAATAAAATTAAAGCCCGATATATACCTTCTAACATCTCTGATGAGACAGCCATTGTTCAATACAAGTACGGAGATTTTTCTTAATAGACATGGTGTAAGGGATCCAAAGTGTGACTCGTCATTACTTTTTTGGTTATTTTCCTATTGATCAAACATTTATTCCCAACTCTTATGTGTGGTTTCATAGAACCCCTAAAATAGACCATGGTACCTAATTAATTAGATCTCTGTAATTTGTACTACATTTCTAAACAAGTGTTGTAGTTTGTGGACTGATCTGTAGATCACTCTTCCATCCTTTAAAAAATAACTTCTTGGTGGATTGTAACGGGAAGATAAAGGCCTTAAAATTAACTTCTAATAAAGGCTTAGCCAGAGTAAAGGGAGTTGAAGTGAGCAGATCATTTAACATCTATCTGGATCTAACATTTGTCTGGATTAATTAAAGGGGGAATGTGTGAGGATATGGGAAGGAGCAGAGATTCTTTATTTCTTTTAACTTTAATGCTGATGCTATTGTGTATTGGCCTGGTAAGATTATATGATAACCCAAGAAATGTTGGAGAATAATGCGCTTTGGTTTAGTTGATTAGCATATGGATGACTGTATTACAACTATAAGAGCATAGATAATCTGTTTTACCCATGATGAGAAGTATAATTTTTGTTTGTCTTGTTCTATATACACGGATAACTTTTCCAGTGACCTTGCATAATGATTTCAACTTAAACTCTATTCCTTTAAGGAAATTGTGCCACCACTAACTATAACTTATCACATGCATAAACTTTTAATGCTTAAAGAAAGAACAGCCTCTTCTATTGCTTGTTCGTGCCAATATTCTTTGTGCTTATATCAGTTGAATTCTTTAAAAATCTTTTAACTATCATAAAATATCTTTCTTCCTCTCTTTTCAGATATGATAAATATTACCAAACTCCACGTGTTTGGCTCACTGGGTACGACGAGGTCTGTCACCTTATCCATTGAACTTTGTGGCCTT